CTTTCGGATCTGCCCAAGTGCGTCCCTGGACTGGGCAGCGCTCTCGCTCCAGCCGTCCCGCACAGGGATGCGGGAACAGGAGCTGCCCTGAGTCACAGTGGAGACACAAATGGCAATCACACTGTGGAAACTCACGAGGCCGGATTGCTGCTGGTCCGTGGAAGATCATTTGGGTGTTGGAAAATCCACTGTGGGGCTGTTGTCATGCAGGACAATTAGTCGTCTCCTGCTCCGCAGGACTGTGACCTGGGAATGCCCAGGTCATTCATACCAACCTATGCCTGCGTCCAGACTTCCAACACCTAGCCCTGCCCCAGAGAAGAATTTACCCTAGTGGGTAGCCATACAAAGTGGGTGGGGAAACTGAGTCACCCCTAGTGTTCCTGAAACTATATCCCCTCCCCCCCATTCTCCACAAATAGAAGGACTAGAAAAGACCGATCGGGAGGAGGGGCTGCTGTTCTCCCTGTAAGCTTTTCCTGTGCAGCATCCACTTGGCCTGCAGAACTCCCTGCCACCGCACGGCACTGAGGCCAGATTCAAAGTGGGACGGGATGTTTCTGGGGCTAACCAGAGTGCTAAGGAGGAAAAAAAACATTGGGTGGGATATAAAATCTGGGCGTCAGCTGATCACTGCTGGTTAGGATGTTGGTTATCAAATTAAGACTGCTTTTATTGTGAATGAAAGCGGCAATGCCAATACACTGAGCAAGTCTACACCAGAGATTTGTACCTCTATTGCCAATTTACTCCAGGCAGCCACCATGTTCGTAAATGTTTGTTCCAAGATCGTTAAGGCCTTTTTCAGTCTAAGCCAAGATTTGAATTTAAACTGATTTTAATTAGACCGGTAAAAGGCCCCATGTGGATACTTTTGTCCTCAGATAATAGCGCTTTTTTCGGGTTTAGCGTCTGTCGCTCTGAAAGCGGTGGATGCGAAGTTGGGAAAAGGCTCTCGTTCTGGGGTAGGAGCGTCCCCACGGGGAGTTACACCCGCGTAGCTACAGCCGTGGAATTATAGCCCCAGAGCTGGGCCAGTCAATTTCCACCTGTGGCTAAGGAAAGTGTTCGGTTACCCTAAGTGAAAACACTGCCACGGGCACAGGTAACGACATGGCTTGTGTGTGCAATTCAGGGCCCAGCCACTTAGCCACAGTCTGGCCACGTATCCGTCTGGTCCGACCTCGATCCGGGACTCCACAGCTCCAGCCTCGTTCTCCTGTGACCGGATCCAGCGTT